AAAAAAAATTATCACACCAAGGCATCTCATAGACTCTCAGAGATGTATAAAAAAGCTAGAACTCTAGGAAAAAGACCTGATTGGCTGGGGGACGATACTTGGAATGCTCTTTTGGAAAAGTGGAACATGCCACTTTATAAACAAAAGTGTGAAACGGCAAAGAAGAATCGGACATCTGAAAAGGGTGGTTGTTTGCACACTGGAGGATCTATAAGCGTGCATGAGCATGCTATTCGTTTGGTATGTAACTTGTACATTTTTTTTCTTATATTTGTAATCATAAACTTTACAAATATTTATTAATAACTCATTTTGTTTGCAGTCATAGGAGCTTGGTCGGTTTGTGCATGTTGATGAAATATTTCAGCAGACACATATTCGCCAATCAACAGGGGAATTTGTGGGCGAAAGGTCTAGGCGGACCCATGTAAGTTTGTACTAACTCTATCACATTATAAATTTTTGGTTTTCAAACCTCATGTTTAATGATAATATTTATTCATTTAATAGGAACAATTTGTTGCAAAATTTTCTCAAATAAGATCTGAGACTGCATCTGTTGGTGTCTCAGCATCTTCTCCTCTAGACCTTGCGGAGGAGGAAAGATTGAGAAACCGATGTTGGTTAGAGGCTGCTGGTGGAAAATACAAGGGACGCGTATACGGCATTGGAAATGTCACTTCCCAAGATGACTGTGTTGATAGTTACATCCAACAGACACAAGCATCTTCTACTGCTCAACAACAAAATTCAAAAGAAATTGTTAACCTGAAATCACAGTTATAACAATATGATCAGCAACTTGAAAAGTTTGAAGGCTTTATTGGCGTCCTCCTGCCATTCCTTCCGCCTTCAGCAGCCGCAGCTGCACAAGACTTTTTAAACCTTCAAAATCCTCAAGTTCAAAATGAAGTACCCAATGATGTCCAACCACAACAGCAACCTCCAGAGCAACAACCACCACACTAGCAACCACCAGATGAACAACCACAAGATGGAAATGATTATATGCATTATTAGGCATTTTATAGAACTTATTTCCATTACTGTTGAACTTATTTAGAACCACAACCACAATTCGTTTATGAACTTACTTAATGTTTATTCTATAAACAATATTTATGTATTCATATACAATGTTTCCTTTGTGGATTAAGTTTATCTGAAAAGCTTATTGGATTTATATGTCAATGTGCAATGTATAATGTCCAGGTTTGCTTATATCAATTGTGAATGTTCACTATAATGTCCAGGTCTGCTTGTATATTGTGCATGGGAAACTGCTATATACAGAGTATTTATTTATCTCTTCTTAAACCAATATATACGAATTTATCCATATATAGGTTATATACGGATGTATCCGTATATAAGTTATATACGGATTTGACCGTATATAAGCTATATACGGATTTGACCGTATATACGCTATATATGGATTTGACCGTATATAAGTTATATACGGATTTATCCGTATATAACTTATATACGGATTTATCTGTATATAAATTATATACGGTCAAATATGTATATTATTTTCGTATATAAGTTATATACGGATTTATCCGTATATAAAATTAGCTACGATAGTATTATATACGGATTTTTACCCGTATGTAATCCGTATATAACCAAGTATTATATACAGATTTTGAGTCTTATATATGGATTTTGGCTGTATGTAATTCATTTTTTTCTTGTAGTGGATTGATTAGATATCTGATTAGAATTATTGAAATCATTCTATGAATGATTGGATGAGATTGAATGAATCAAATTGTTATGTATGCAATTTGTTATTACTCTGTCATATGATCATTGATCATTGCACATATCCATTCATAGATCATGAATTACTTCACAACTATTGCTCTTATACTGTTTATCATTTTGCTAACACTTAACATGGTTGAGAAAGTTGTGTTTACAGGTTATATCATGATCATCACATGTTTAAATGATCAAAATCAGGATAATGATCAATTCTGCACATTTTAACAGATTAAATGCATCAATAATCAGTTAAAGAATTCGCTCTGCAGTTATTTTAATAAGTTAAATTATTAATGTAATCGATTAAATGGTACTACATTGGTTTTCATGTTTATAATTATTGATCTTCATTGCTAAACATGTTTTAAATATTCTCATCTACATGTTAAGCATATCTTAGATGTCACATGTTGCATATTAATCAAAAATGTTTTGAAAATAAATACATATGCTTCATTATGAAAAAGGCACCATTGTTGCACATTTTACTTAAACTTTTATATATTTTCTTCTGTTGTATTAGCTGGTATCATGTATTAATTCTAAAATCATACTTTGTGCTTCATCTTATTTGCATAAATCATGTTGAAGATTTGCAAATTGCACATGATATCTCATGATACACTGTTTTCAATGTGATTAATTGAGCTCTTTTGTGATAAATCTTATTCTGTTTATTCTGGTTAAGTGCTACATTGCCTAATGTGTTTCTGTGTTTTTTTTAACCTTTTAAGGTCTTTACAAAATCAACACTACATTTTTCTACCATTTTATAATAATTTGAAAACGAAATCAGAAATTCTTTTAACAAAATATTCTTCATTAGACTAAATAATTTTACATAAAGTATTTTTTTTAAAATAAACTTATATTTGTGTGTAATAAGTATACTTTGCTACTGTTTACGTAATGATGAACCTAGAAATTTAAAAAAATTAAAAACATTTCCATACAAAAATAGAAAAAGAATTAAAACATTATTGTAATAATAAAAAGAAAATTTAGTAAGTCTTACATTTCAATACTAAAACTATTACTTTTATCATGAAAGATTAAAATTTGTTAACACACACACTCGTGTGTGTGTGTGTATACATATATATATATATATATATATATATACATA